GTTGTTACAAGAAAGGTTAAAGATAGAGTTGACTTGGCAGGCAGATCCCCCTTTTTCTACCTTCTGACGCAGCTCCTGTGGCCATCTTCAACCATGAGGTGACTTTGAGGATGGAGCCACTAAAATTCTCCCTCATTTGCTGGACCTTAGTCACACAACCACATCTGCATATAAAAGCAGCTGGAAAATGCAATCTTTTATCCCTGGCAGCAAAGTGTCCAACTAGACATAATGGTTCTATTATTAAAGAATATATATTAGAGTACAGAGATTATAATCTCCACCACAGTGATTTGCCCTGTCATGTGCTTTTCATTCTCCAGTGGGGTTCATCTCAGGATATGGCCATGGAAAAACCCAGGAATTGATTTCACCAGGGGTTGGAGTTTTATCCAATGACTGATATGAAAGTGCTAATGGGCAAGAGTCTAGAACTATCTTGAGAGAGTAATTAAAATGATGGAACATGGATTCTAAACTGGGTTTGGAAGAAGAGTGAGGGCTGGAGGAAGCTGATGTTTGGAGAGAAAGTAGAGATGTAATTCCCTGGACATCCTGATGCAGTGGAAGAAATGCTCCCGTGGAAGAAATTGTGGGCAAGCTTATGCCACAGGAGATCATGGGGAGGGAGAAGGTAGGCTATGAGGTGATGAGACAATGGCACCCTGAAGCTCAAGTGATGATGAGGGAGACAAGAATCTACCAAACCTGCCAGCACCAATCTTGGTGGCTCCATGTTTCAGAGAAATATCATGTTGGCCAGTGGGAGTGATCTACTCACCAGGCTGCCCTCCTGGACCCTGCTCCTGATCATAGTGCCCAGAGACAAAACCATAAATGTGAGTCTTGAGCCTCACAGGGAGTCTGGTCAACTCCACATGTAGGAGTTGGGGGAGAGGGATTGAGAGTCAGAGTGCCCCAAAGAGGTGAAACAGGAATTGGGGTCCATGTAGGATGAAGTCCAGGCTAGACTGTACTGCCAGCCCTTCTGGTAAGGGGTTTAGAAAATTTTGAAGAAGAGACTCCAAAGTGTGGGGCCCTCTGAGGTACAGGGCCTTACTCGCCCAGGTCTAAGGATAGTAGTTCCCAGGTGGTCTGGGATGACTGTGAACTTCAGAAAATAGAATAAGAGATGGAAACCAGCATTTGTTTTGTGTGTGCCCTGCTTGCCAAGCACATGCAAGACGTTTGCTTCATTTGACCCTCACAAGCACTTTGTGAGGTAGGTAATACTACCAAACTCATTTTACAGATGAGAAAACTATGTCCCAGAGAGATTATATGACTTCCCTCAGGTCACCCAGTGGTGGGTCCAGGCTCTAAAATGTGTTTTCTTTCTATACCCAAGGTGACTTCTGTGAAGGGGCTTATCTTTTCCACTCTTATTAAAAGGACATACTGTTTCTCCACAAGGAATATGGCACTCTGATCTTCTCTATGGCTGCTGGACATTCTCAGACCTAGTATATTCCACACTGAGTTTCTGTGAGTAGGTTTTGGCCATGGCCCAATGCCCACTCTGATCTCTTGACAAGCAAAAGAATAGGGAGTACCCTTGCCTGATTTGCATCCCATGGTCACAAGCCCTAGGACTCCACCTGTGCCTGACAATTCCTACCTGTTGTTTGTGGAAGGTCCAGCTCACATGTCGAATGAACCCCAGCAACTCCCTGAACAACTTTGAAACCAGAGGAAGAGCAATCAGAATGGCTGATGGAAAGTTGATTCAGAATCTGACGGGAATTCAGATTAAGATCCTTCTGTGTCAGTCTGTGTTATTGTTTTTAACGATTATTCTGGCTTGGATTCTCATTGGTTGGAACAGACTTCGGGGAAAAATCATTAAGGCGAGGTGTGGCTGTTTCTCTAATGTTGACTGATGAAACCTTACACTTAGGCAAGGGGCCAGGCCAGAATTTAAGGATGGCTACATGGCTAAGTCAATGTTTCAACACTTTCAGCAGAAGCCCTGAATGAGAGATGAGTTCATCTCCTGAGAGGTATCGGTTTGCGGTCAGGGAAGAGCCTCCCTACTTTTACAGATATCTTGGTCTCCTTCTCTTGAGCCTAACTGGTCTTTTCCCCTGACCCATCCTTTATGACCCCTCTAATAACTGCAAATGAATCAGTGAAATAGAGCTTCTGTGAAGGCGAAAAGTCAGGATTTTCATCAGAGGGAGGGAAATGAGAAGCCCTATTTTTTAAAAAATATAAACACAGCATCCTGGAAGAGAACATCTGGACAGTATTTAAGAATGAGATGAGGTGTCCTGGGGTGTCCTGTGGTTTTGGCAACACTTCAAGGCTGAGGTGGGTGAGGCACTGAGGATAACCATTAAGCAATTAAGCAAGGTTCCAAGGTTCAAAACAGCAGCTATTTCCACTCAACCCTAAGCCAGAGATTTACTCAATCCTCTTGAAAATGTCACTTTCCTGTGGTCTCCAGAAGGGGCAAAGAAGATGCCTCCCAGAGGGGTCTACTATCAGGACAGACATAATGTCTTCCATGTGGGTGGTTATCTTAGGATCTGAAAGTTAGTGAGCACTCTGAACTTTTGGTCTCTAGCAAACCAGGCCGTAGATAGGAAACGAGAAGCTAAAAGGAATCTGGTTTCTAAGTTACTTGGTAGAACATTAGCAAAATTTCTGGATGAGAGAATGACTTCCAGGTTAACTCACTCCCCAGTACTAGTCCCCAAACCATCATCCCAGGTAGTTTGCAAGTTGAACTATGGGCTGGGCACCTGGGGCGGGCCTGCACTGCACCAGCCCCAGGAAATACCACACATCTCTATCGTAGTCTCATGCTTGGTTTGGTGTTCTGGACAAAAGGACAATGGTTTCCCTTAATAGCTTGTGTTTAACTGCTGTGACAGAAACCAATGTCTGGATTATTTGATTTCAGTGTGGCATGAAATCATGGACCTGTAAAAGAAGCAGAGGCAGTAAAGGGTTATGTAAGGTTTAGTTCTCAAAGTCAATAGAAATGGGTTTCAGGTTGCTGCATTGACAATGCAGAGAAAGGAGTTTTGGCATTTCAGGGGCAGAGTCGATGCTGCCTGTATGGCCAGTCTGACCAGCAACATGTTCGCAGAGGTATTTCCCGCAAGTACTGGCTTGACTCTTCTAGTTTGGCTCTATAAGATGTGGTGGCGGTTATTCTTACAAGGAAGATTAGCGTAATAGATTTGGATTTAGTCCAAGCCTCAGAGCTACCTTGACACTGGATTACTATGGGATTCTCAGTTCTGAGTTTGAATCCTGTCTTGATTCAGGATTTGGGTCCATGAACAAATTACATCCCTTCTCCTCATCATCCTCAGTTTCCTCATCTTCAAAGAGAACGCAATAATAGTACCTCTTCACAGGGTTGTGAATAGCATTTGGAGGACCATTTGGCCCAGTTCTGGGCACAGAGTCAGCTCTCCATGAATAGAAGTGGTTATAGCTATTTAAAAATTATATGTCTGCCCCCTCTTTGCTTGGCCTTCCTTATTTTTGCCGAAGGACTACAAAAGTTGACTAGTTGGTAATGTGTTTCATTACCACCGTCCCATTCCATTTCCAAATAGTTTGCTGTCTGTCCAAAGGTGGTTACCTATGCTGATTACCTCAGCAAATGACTCAGGTTTTTAGGCAATGAAAAAAGTAGGCCTATGACTTGTTGACACCTTATTTAATAGGATAAATAAGGAAGGGTGAAGATGTTTGTTGAGTAACCACAAGGCTGGGTCTAGCATCTAGAAGTAGCTGAGCCTCTCAAAGGACACAAGTTACCACAGAAGTTTTCTGCTGATGTAGAACAATGATGTAGAACAATCTTTGTTTTGTTCTAGATTTCTAAATTCACCTGTCACCTGATTGAGTGAATATCCCTGATGTTATGGAGAGAAAAATGTTACCTTTTTCTTATTTATCTTAGTATAAGTACAATACGGAGGATTCAAGTTAAAAATAATATATGCCTTTAAATTTGAAAATTGGCTTTACTGTTGCCTCTATGTTAACTAAAGGTTTAAATTTACAGACCTTAAAAAAACTCATTTGTGTCCCATTACATTCCATCCTAGTCCTCAGGAAATGGATGTGTGCATGCCATGTTGATATATTCAGCATATCCCAAACCATATTCATTTTCTGTGAATTCATTTCCTCTTAAACTATCTCTCCTTTCCAACTACCCATCTCTGTCAGTGGCATTACCTTTTTCTAATCTCCACAGCTGGAGATCTTGAAGTGATCTCTGATTCTTCCACCTCCTTTCCCCTGTGGTCAGGAGCCAGGCGGCCCTGTTGCTGCATCATGGTGAAGCAGGCTAGTTAGGATCCTGTGCTCCATCACCAGACATCCTGGGTTTGATGCCTGGCACTACCCTTTATACCCACGTGACATCGGGCCCATCACTTAACTTCCTTGTGCTTCCATTTCCTCATCTGTAAAATAGCAAAAATAACCAAATAAGAGAATAAAAATAATGGTTGCTGTGATAATTAAATGAGATAATTTTTAGCACAGTGATGGCACATGGTGCCAGTTCTGATCCAGTTCCGCTACTAATTTTATTATTCTTATAATAGTCTAGGATGTGCTCCTTCCTCTCCATTTTTATTGCAACAACTGCTCTATTTTAAGCACTTATCATCTTTGGCCTGGGTTACAGACACTGTTGTTTAATTTTATCCTGCTTTCAGACTCTCCTTTCCTCATCCTATCCTGCAGGGTTCTGCCAGACTGGTCTTCCTTAAACACCTGTAAGTTTCCAGCTCAGACTGCATAACGGCTTCTTAATACTTATGGTTTCCAATACACAATCCTCTGGGCAGCTTCTAAGACCCTCAAGAATTCACCATGCTCAGTGCCTGTCCAGGTATAGTGTAGTGACTGAGGGCACAGGCTCTGGGGCTCCATCATTAGCTAACTGTGTAACCTTAGGTACCTGTGTGTCTTTGGTCATTTCAAAATTTTAAACTCCCTGTTCAGACTGTTTCTCCACTCTCAAGACTCACTCCCTGCCTTCTCCCTAAGATGGCTTCTGAGTGTAAGGGGAGCTTACATATCCTCGCAGGGGCTGGGAGCACAGATCTCTGGCTCCAGTCTGGTCTTGGATATCCTGTGGTCTTGTCTGGTCCTGCCATGTCCTCTGTTGGTCTCTGCTGAGGTTCAGGTGGGGCCATCTTGTTCTCTGAAACTCATGCTGAATCCTTCTTTTTTCTGCTGAAGTCCATTGTCCCTCCCCTGCCCTGTGGCTTTTCTTAGCCTGACTCCAGGCCTCTGTTGGTCTGCTGGGTAGTTCAGTATTTCTGTGTTGTGCTGGTTATGAAGGAACTTCTAGTTCCATTACATGCCACACACAGGCAGTAGGAAACTGTTGTGCTACTTGAGATCCTCATATCCTTAGCAATTTCTAATCTACCTCCCAGGTGGCCCCATATTGTTCTTGTGGCATGTTTAATATGGAGCTTCTCTGAGAGGTTTATAGTATTCCCAGACTTTTCCGTTAAAATTGAGAAAAAAGCCCTGAATTTGGAGTTAACTAAATCCATCTGGATGTTTCAACCACCACTTACTTCAGAGGTGGAGGTAAAAGGGTAGAAAACCAGGATACTCTTATCTCAAGTCTTGCCATAATTTCTTTTTTCTCTCTCTCTTCCAGGACCAGGGGGGCTTTCATCTCCCATTCCTGTCTAGAAGGTCCTTCTCATATGTTTTATCTTCTTTCTTTTGTACTCCAGCCTCATGGCCTAGAATTAAAGAATAAGTGACCTAAGAGAATCAAATAAGAATTATCAAGAAGGGAAAATCTGTTCATGGGAAGCATTTAAAAGGTATTGTCCCAGTTATACCCGGGAAGTGCTTGCTTCTTGTCTCAGTTCATCTATATTTTATTCATTCTTTCCATGCAAAGCATTCATCCCACATTATCCTAAGGTGTTCTTCCACTACTCCCTCATGCTCCAATCAAAACCCATTTTGCCAAGAATCATCTATGTAGCTGTATAACCTTTCTCAATTAAACTCTATCTGATTTCTTCTAACTCTAAGCTATTCTATGAGTCTCTGGACATTACGTACCCATTGTTCTCCAGTTGCTTCATGTGCATTAATTTTTTTTTTTAGATTGTTAACTTCTTTGGGGGTAGACACCATGTTTTCCTCTATAAGATCTAGCACTGTGTTAAACAGTCATTAACTATTGGACTTCCTGTGTCAACTCTTCATAGGGGAAAAATATGGACTGATTGGCTAAACCCTGAGGACAAACTACTTGTGGGAGGTCAAAGACCATCCCTTCTTTCCTTTGTCATGTCCTTGGCTAACATTTATTGTGCCCTTACTATGTGCCTCACATTGTGCTAAATGCTTTCTTTACATTGTCCTATACAATTCATCAACTTAAAATATGGGTACCATTATTACACTCATTTTACAGATATGATTTAGAGAGATTAAGTAACTTTCTCAAGGTCACACAATAGTGAGGAACAAATTCAGAATTCCAACCCAGGTCTGTCTGATTCCAAATCCCATGAACTTAAACTACAACTTGCACAGCCACCATTAGTTCAGTTGTTGAGTGTGAGCTTTTTCACAATTCTTTCTAGTTAACTCTTCAGAATGAGTGAACCTTAGTTTAGGTTGCCATTGACTACACATTGTGTATCTCAGGCATATATTTTACTTCTTTTCCACCCCAAGTAGCAGTGCTTCCATTCTTCATCTGAACACTATTTTTCCTCAAGTCTCTCCAGAACTGATTTTGCAGACTGTATTTCTCATCTTATAAGAAAATAGTAGGAAGAATACCAAATATCTTAGTTTCATAATCTTAGTATCTTTAGGAACTTGGAGTTAGTCTTATCAGTTGTAGGCTAGAGAAGGCAATCACTCAACAGTGAGGAGATTCATCAACCTAAGAAATTGGTATGCAAGCACTAGCTGAACAAGAATCATGCATACGAACTATCAATCACTTGATTCTGTCCCTCTGAAGTTAACTTTCTTTGTAGCTGTGGAAAACAATTTTATGCAGAACTTGGAAAAAGGCAAATAAGATGACTCAAACATGGTCAGAAAGTCCTAGAAAATGTTTTAAAATTACAGATCTTGCTTTTTCTAGTATTTCTACAATGAGCATGTATGACTTATACAATAAATAGCAACAATAAGTGTATTTAAGTGAACTGTAGGTGAACACATAGCAGGATACAGAAACTTTGAGTTGTTGTGTGTTCTAGCTGAATCTATGTAGGTAGACTGACACTGGTGTGGGACTAAGTGGTCAACTCAAACCAAAAGTGGCCTCAGGGATGTCTAACCCAAACTGAAAAAAACCAAAGGAAACAGGGCTAGAGGGTAAGTTGCAAGTTCACGTCACAATGGTTGGTGGTCCTGGTAGTTACAATGGGATTTATATACTAGTCTTCTACTAAGACAATACAAAAACTCACTGCTATTGGCTGCTTACCTCTGTCACTGCCCACCAGATGTCTGAGTAGGAGACAAAGGAAGCAGTAGGACTAAAAATAGGGTTCCTGAAAACATATATGTAGTCATGGCTGTGTTCTAAAGGTTCTGGATGATTCTCCCTGAGATTATGGGCAAGAGTACAGCCGTGCATGACAGAAGTTTGTGGGGTTTGGGGTACCATTTTAGCCTTCTTCTCTGGTGCTACTCTGTCCTTTCGCAGGAAGCCAGTGGCACAGGATTGTTATTATATTAAAAGGGTATAAGAAAAGTCTGGCTTCAAGAAGTTAAACATCCACAGTGAAGGACTCTTGCTCAGTTCAAGTGTTTGTAGAGTGCTGGGCACTGGGAATACAAAGATGAATGACATTTTTCCTGCTTTCAGGAAACTATAGTCTTACGTGAGAAGACAGACTAAAATATAAATTATAACACAATATGATAAATGCAATATGAATGATATTTACAAGGTGCTATGGCAATACAAAAAGGGCAACCTATCCTAGCCTGAAAGGAGGGGGGGACAGTTAGAATCATGGAATGTTTTCCAAATATAATCTTTGGGAACTAGGGATAGTTCCATGTAACTAGGATGCCAAGGAAGGGGAGGTGGTATGAGGAGGTGTGGCAGGGGATAGCCTTATGAGATAGGGAATATCCACGTCTAGCTTTCTAAAAATGCTAATAAAGAATTACACAGTATTAGCGCGGCGTGGTGGTCAGCTTGTAATCCTACATCTGAGCGAGCAGGCGATTGCTCAGGTCAGCGAGTTCAAACCAGCTTGAGCGAGACCGCTTCTCTACTATAAAATAAAAGAATTAATTGGCCAACTATATCATATAATTATATATAAATAGGCGCATCTGTGCGCGTGCCTGTAGTCCGCTACTCGGGAGGCTGAGCAGTAGATTGCTTGACCCAGGAGATTGAGGTTGCTGTGAGCTAGGCTGACGCCACGGCACTCTCTAGATGGGGCAACAAAGCGAGACTTTTCAAAAAAAAAAAAAAAAAGAATTACACAGTATGTATAATAAATATTCATTTAGAAATAAATTAAAATAAGAAAAAAAACAAGGCAATATGTCTGAATGAAAGCAGCTCTGACCCAGTAGCAGCCAGATTAGGGCCATCTCACAGAGGATTTGCTTCTATTCCTTAAGCTACAATGTGTGTTTCTAATTCAGTCATTTTTTTTCTTCTCTTTTCTTTCTTTTTTTTTTTTTTAATTTCAGCACATTATGGGAAATTCAGTCATTTTTATTTGCTAGTCCCATTCCTGTGTTTGGTCTGGATATTTATATAAGAAGAAAAAGAAAATAGTGAATGAATGTGGAAGATGAAGAGGAAGGTTATAAAACAGATATTTGAGTAAGGAGATCTTTATTTGGAATGTCTAACAGACTTCCCAAAGCCAACATATTTAACTTCTGACCTCTGGATCTCCCCCTACAACTCTGTGCCACAGGTAGCCTCCCCCATCTCAGTTAATGATGACTCCAAACTTTCCGCGCTAAGGCCTAAAGTCTTAAATCCTACCCTTCACGATCATATCCCATGGTGTCAGCCTAGCTCACAGCAACCTCAAACACCTGGCCCAAGTGATCCTCCTGTCTCAGACCTCCCGAGTAGTGGCTACAGTGAGCACCCCACAACCAGCTAATTTCTTCATTATTATTTTTTTTTTTTTTAGAGACGGTCTTGCCACTTGCTCAGGCTGGTCTCAAACTCCTGAGCTCAAGAGATCTCCTGCTTCCGCCTCCCCGAGTGGCTAGGATTACAGGTGTGAGCCATCACACCTAGGCCCATTTTTATTCTTGTTGCCCCCACCCCAGGCAATTGTAAATTTGTGAGGAATTTATTTGGTGTCCTGATGTATCCTGCTTTAGAACACTTAAGTTGAATGGATGATGAATGAGTCATCCTGCATGAAAGCTTCCACTTTCTCTAGTGCTTCTTCTGTGTTTGGGTTAAAAAAAAAGATAAAAAATAAAAAGAGAGAAGCTCACTTTCTTTACTCAAATTTCCCATTCTTAAAATATCTTAAATATTAAGAAACTGAAGATGAGTCCTATGCATCTTATCCAGAGCTGACTAGAAAAGAAAAACAAAAATCTGCTTGGGCCGGCGCCGTGCTCAAGCTGTAATCCTAGCACTCTGGAGGCGAGGTGGGCGATTTGCTCGAGGTTCGGATCGAAACCAGCCTGGACAAGAAGCAGACCATCTCTACTCGATAAATAAAAGAAATAATTGCCAACTAATATATACTTAGTATATATATAACATTAGCCGGCATGGTGGCGCATGCCTGTAGTCATGTCCAGCTAATTGGTAGGTCTGAGGCGAAGATTGCTTGAGCCCAGGAGTTGAGGTTGCTGTGTGACTAGGCTGACGCACGGCACCACTCTAGCCGTTGCAACAAAGGTGAGACTCTGTCTAAAAAAAAAAAAAAAAAAAAAAAATCTGCCTTGGGCATAATGACCACGAGGGAGGACAGAGACACTTGTGAGCTATTCCTCCAAGGAAGACAGCATTACAATCACAAAGATTGCTGACCACTTATATGTTAACATTTATGTATATTCTTCTTGTCCAGAAGTTTAATATATAATATAGTTATAGTTATAAATATATATATATATGTTAAATTATCAGATCTTTTTCTCCATGGTTTTGTTTGCATTTATGTATTCTTCAAGGCCTTTCCTACCATGAAGATTATAAACATCTTCTTTTATGCTTGTTCTAATGCTCATATAATTTAGGTTATAATTTTTGTTGTTTTTTAATTTGTGTCTGGTCTTTAATCCATCTGGAATTTGTGCTTATGATTTGTAAGAAATAGGGAGATGACATCATTTTTCAGAAATGCACATCATCCCAAACCATAACACTCCAGCCTTTCCTCATTGATCAGAAATATCACCTTATCACACAATCTGTTTTTTAATTCTTTGTTCCTTTGATCCATTTGTCTATTCTGACACCAGTACCAAACAATTTTTAATTGCTATGACTTTACACTACAGTTTGATTTTCTGGTGGTAACCTCTGGTCTTAACATTATAATTCACTATTAATTTATTACTAATTTTAGCCTATATCAACCATATATTCAATCATGTGATAAACATTTTTGAGCATTTACTATGTGCTATGCTCTAGAAACAAAAATACTGCTGACTGGACTCAATTGTCCAAATGTAAATTTGATGGATTAGGACCTAGACTCTACTTTTTTCATTAAGGTTTTTTAGGGGAGAGGAAAGGGGATGGCAAAATTTATTTCTCTTAAATATTGCTTAAGTTGTTGATATATCCAAATCAACTTTGCTAAATTTTTCTGAAGTAATAAATCTAAATATGAATCAGAAGTTAGAGCTCTAATGGAAAAAGCCTAAAATTGTGGATAAAGGCTAGGGAATGAGAAAAGCAAAATATTGTGTAATATCCTAACATCATTCTTACTATAATTTATTTCCTAGCCTTGGTCTACCAATTAGGTGACAAATGAATTTTCACATAAAAATTAGGGTAAGGTCTTTCCTCTTCCTTTATTAAACTTACATTGAGAGTTACGCACCAAGTCATGCCCAGTGAAGCATCAAAACATCCTAGGAAGATCCTGTGTGTATGTGCTCAAAGTAATTTTAATTGCATGTTCCTACTCCCTCAGATCACTCACATCAAACGTAATGAGATTAGCTGGGATTCATGACCTAACTTGTCAGCTTAATGCTATTATATTTTATGTCCCCTTCTTCCCTACTGAAGTCAAAAAAGACTTACTTTAATCTTAATGGCAAACTAGACATTATTGGATGGTCCCTATGATTAAGAACCTACCTTAGTAACTAGTTCTTCTCTTTTTCACCACACTCTCCAAAGAGCATAGGCTTCTCTTGCACAGGGAGAGAGTGGTTGGTTACATATGGGGCTGCCTTCCAGAAGATGTCATATGTGATGAGTCCCAGAGTAAGCATGAGTTGCTTGAGGTTGGGTTTGGGATCACAAAGTGCATATAGAATAAACCAAGACTTCAAGGTTTGAGATCACTGAAGACCAAGGAAATGCCTGGGCCCTGGAACATGTCAGATACATGCCATCTCCCTAAGATCACTAAGAAGGATTAAAGCTCCAGAAAGATGAAAAATGAACATTCAGTTGTAAAATTCAGAAAGCACACAAAGCTGTGACAGCATTGGCCTTTGAAGAACATATCCTAGAACAGTTGTTCTTAACCTGTTTTCATATCATCTGTAGTATTATACAGCTTTTGAGACTCTGACCCAGAGTAGAGATTCAAAATAAGAAATTCTTTTCTTTCCCTGTTTATCTATTCTAGAAAGAAGTACAATCACTAAAAGAGAAAGAGACCTGTTTATTAACTCTCATAACTACCCCAGAGCTTCTTATCAGAATTTTAGAACAAAAATATTCAAAGATGAAATGGAAAAGCAAAAATTATTGTCCAACTTTAGTTCTCAAACTGGCTGCATCTCTGACTGCTGCAGAGTACTGTTAATGAAATTGTGATCCAGCACTAGTCCATACTGAGTGCTGCTCCAAAGACACAGAGTATATATTGCTGACAAAACTTCTAAGTGCTCTAATGAGTAGAGGTTGTGAGATGAATAATTCCTTAACTGAGCATGATGCATATATAGGGTTAGAGGTGGAGGGCATGCTTAATCTGGTAATCACTTACAGAAAATGTGGGTAATTTCTCTGGAGAGAACAAGCTCAATTACTCATAATGCACCATACTGGGCAGTGCTCAAGAGAATAAACACTACTGCCTACTAATTTAGGTCTGGCACACATCCACATTCTCCTGAGAACCTCCCTTTCCTCCCTTTTTTTCTCCCAAAAAAGTAATGAAATAATAATGATTGATGGCATGATCTAAGCAGTAGCATAATGGAAGGTAAAAGCTGGGCTTTGGAGTCAGATCTAGGTTTGAATTCTGATACTATCTACTATATAGCTGAGAACACTCATTTCATCATGGCAATCTGCTTTGATCTGCTCCAGAAAGCTGGAGGTAGGCTGTAGTAAACTCATAAACTGGAAACACAGAACAGCTTTTTCTTACCCTAATTATATTCCTGCTAGTAATCTAGTACTTGGCCCATTGATAGCCTCATCAGATACCTGCCTTTGTTTCCCAGGACTCACCCATAACCATAAACAATGACTTCACTAGAAAGGGCTCTTATAAAGGCTCAGGAAAGCTGAAGTTAGGCTATTTATTTTAGCCCTTTATTCAGCTTGATTTCTCCTGGGAGTCTTCATGTAAGAACATTCTTCTAGCAGAGCTGAGATTGCCTTCTACATACACTTTGGTTTGCCTTTGTTAGTTTTCATTTTAATTACCTTTCATATGCATTAATATGCAAAGTAAATAGAGAAAAAGATTCTGTGCCATACTAGGTGCATTAAGATGTTAACACTGATAGTTAATGATCATTTAGGCACTTGTATAAGATACTACTAAGGTTTCCAAGAGTAAAGACTAACAAGAAATACTAAAGTGGTACACTTAGTACCACCAATGCCACTATGTTTTGAGATGTAAATTTCACAAGGTATGCATAATTCAGATGACAAATTAAGCCTCAAATTTTATGGATGAATAGCTAAGATGTTTTATTGATCTCCTAAGGCTCACCAGTAAACAGAATGTCCACTTAAAGGGGTAATTGAGGAGTTTAATGAAGATACCAACTACAATGGGTTAGCACAAAAAGGCCCCCAACCTCTTTGGCACTAGGAACTGGTTTTGTGGAAGACAATTTTTCCACTGACGGGTGGTGTGGGGGGAGGCGGAGCTCAGGTGGTGATGCATGGCCCTGTTTTCCTAACAGTGCCCTACCTGGCCAGGAGGTTGGGGACCGAAGGTTAGCAGGGTTAAGGAAAACAAAATCAAGATGATAAAGTACCTCAGTGGTGTCCACTAGATCATTCTGCAGTGAAAATGTTCTAAATCTGCACTAATACAGTAGCCATTAGCCACAAATGGCTATTAAACACTTAAAACGTGGTGTGACTAAGCCACTGAATTCTTATTTATTCTTAATTGGACAGTACAGCCCAGGTCTATCAAAGAGCTATTGTAACTCCTAGACCGGAATAAGGTAAGGAAAAGGAACAATTACTGAAACCTGGAATGATGCAGCATTAGAGCTCTATCTTATAGGAGAGGACTACATGACAGGAGCTGTATGTAGCCTTTGATAGAAGAATGCAGCCACTGCCAACCTGCAGACTGACTGGGGAACAGCTAGGAATAAATACCCTGACTTGGCCAGGTGCGGTGACTAACGCCTATAATCCTAGCACTCTGGGAGGCCAAGGTAAGAGGATCACTGGAGGTCAGAAGCGTGAGGTTGCAGTGAGCTATGATGATGCCACTGCAAAAAAAAAACACCACCAGAAAAATCCTGATTCACTCTTCTTGCCCCCATTTTCCTATGGTGTTTCTGGCTGGTAGGACTCAACCAAAAACTATACAGGAGAGCTCATTGATGCAGTCCATAAAGGTCTGCCTCTTGATGCACAGAACACAGTGAAGGGTGGAGGATAGATCTAGAGCTAAATATTATACAAAATGAATTGTATAAAATTGATGCATCAAACAGCTGGCTTATTGGCACTTATAAATCTAAACAAATACAGACCCAAAAGCAAAAAAATCAAAAGCTTGTTTGTAAAGACCTGCAAATGTTTCCTGTTGTTAAAGCTATCCTAGAGGTCGCTGTTGCACTAAACAGCCACAATGCTTTAATCAAATTGCAACTGTGTTCACTTCAGGTTTCATACATGAAGAATTAGGTCAATACCATGTTCCTTCAACTATATTCAACTAAGATCTGTGTGAAACTTTTTCCAAGGTTCCATCTCAAATCACAAGCCCCAGGATTGGGAAATTTTTACTTGACTTAGGCTAAAGGCCATGTAAATTCAATAAATGGATAAACTTAGATTAGAAAATTAGAAGAAGACCAATAAACCATATACATGAATCCAAAGTCTCCTACTATAGGACTGTATGGTCACTGTCTTCAGCTATGTTTTAGTTTTGTGCTGTCTGATTGTTGGTATGTATTTTAACTCTTTCACTTTCTACACTGAATAGTGCTAAGGGAAAATAAAAACGAGGTGGGAAGGAAGGAGTGGCAAAATCTATAGTTAGAGTCAAGTTCTACTTGTGGAAACCTTTATTGTCTACTTTAGTGGGTCCTCAACATATCAAAAGTCCAGTCCTTACTGCCCAACACTTAAAGAAGAAAGGTCTAATGTTACTGGATGGGGGTTGAAGTAGGTGCCAAAAGAAAAGCAGTTCCCACCTCCTCCAAGGAGCAGGAGCTGTTGCTCTTCAGGAAGAAGGACGCTAGTATGGTTGTGTAACATTAATGGCCATGGCACACATGTTGTGTCAATCTGATACTCAGAGCTCAAGCCTGTAGTCAAATCGATAACAGTCACTCCAGGAACTGAGGAGGAATGAATCCAGACCCCTCCGACAAGCAGAAGCTTTCCATTGAGCACATGAGCTGTGTGAGAATACCGTGGGGTAATGGGAGGCTGGATGTCTATTGATTCCCAGAGGAATCCACAGGAGATTGGTCTCAGAAACAGTACAGAGTTCAACACCTCCTCAGAAGCCCCGAGACCTCCAGCAATAAGGGCTCCCCCTTGCCAACTGCAGGCACTGTGGGAATGCCGAGCTTCAGGTGCTTCCCCCTTCACTGGGATCATGATCCAAGCCATCGTTTCTACATGTAGGAAATGCCAGTCACTTAGTACAGGTTCCACCACACTTCGACCCCCATACACAAATAAATATTTCTGATTCTGATAAGACACTTCTGTTGCTGAATGCCGCCAACGTGACAAAGTGAAATCTTCTTTTAGGCCAGCATTTGTTAATGTCACCATCAGGTCCTCAGTGCGATTATCCTCACTCTTACAAAAATGAAGTTGGAGAAACCCCAAGGCTGGACTTATTGGGGATAGCCTCCCTCCCAGAACCAAAACCTGAGTATCTGAAAGTCTTGTCATGGTGTGATAAAGGCGTCCATCCCACTGAATTTCAGTCCCAGGACTGCATACTTGGCTGCCTTTCCATTCAAAGTCACAATATCTTGAGAGCAAGTGAAGCTTGCTCACTCGGCAGTGCCGCCCTTCCTGCTCTCCAAACCCTCCTGCACTGAGAATAATGTCCGGGCTCAAAAGGACAGAGGCGTGGCCGTATCTCTTAAGGTTTGGGCCCTGGCTGTCACTAGTAACTACACTAGCAGGAAAGACCCCTGAAGAGGAAATAGGATCTATCCGAGGAAAGGCCTCCGATGATGGAAACATGAGAGGTTGAGAGAGGGTGTCTCCCCTGGAAGCTGCCAGAATGAAATAATGGGCGCACTTCAGATGCCACTCCTCAAACTCGTCAAAGGGTTCAAGATTTTCCATCCGCCGGCGTTCTTCTGCAGGGAGAAAGCGGCGATAGAATTCATTCATGTCCACAGCACTGCAGGCAGTCCAGCCAGCTTGAAGAAAGCGGCGCCGCTGGGCCTCCACGTCAGGAAAGTGGTCCAGGCCATGCAGGGGAGAATTTAGCTGCCGAAAATGTTGCAGCATGAACTGGCCAAAGGCGTCTTGAGGCTTCATCTGCTCATAGACCACGAAAATGGCATTAGGAAAACGCTGGGCTGCCCAGGCGATGAGGGCCGCAGCACTACCTGGCTCCAGGTAGGTCAGCACGGCCTCGGCCAGGAGCAGGGTGGGTGAGACCGCGTCAAGGCCCGCGGCGGCCAGGGCCTCGTCCAACCGCTCGAGCTGCCGCAGGTCCAGCCCCAGGATGCGGTAGTCCGAGCTCTCAAAGCACAGCGCTGACGCGGGGTCCCCCTTCTGGAAAGGCCCGGTCAACGCGCACAGTTCCGGGGTCTCGCCAATCCTCTCCGCCTTGCGCCGCGCCACGTCCGGGAAATCCACCTCCCAGACTGCAGCCCGAGCCAGGTGGCCAGCACTTTTGAGGCGAAAATACAGCGAGTCGGAGCCGGCGCCAAGGGACAGGATCTGAGCGCTACACCCGTCAGGGGGCGCGCACGTCCGCTCCAGGAAGGCGCGCACGCAGTGCCGTACGGCGCGTGCGCGGACGTAGTATCCTCGGTGAATGAGTGGCGCGCGGCGCGCGGCGCCCGGGACCAGCAAGGCTGTAAAGGCGTCTTGGACATACCCGCGCGCCGCCAGGGAACTCTTGCTGAGGGCGCTGCTGTCGTTGGTGCTCTGTACTGCTCCCGCCCGACGCTCGCGGCTCCGTGGCCCCATGGCCAGGAGAGACTGAGGAACTCCGCTCGGTCACGGTTGTGAGCCGCTCCTTCGGTCGCACAGTACACACTTCAGGGACCCCGGTTCGGAAACATCACCCCTCCCCTTAACTTCCTTTCCGCAGTGTGCGTCACTTCCGGGAAGAGCGCGCCTCAATCAGAATGGGGGCAGGAGTAGCTTGTACTAAAGGCGACTGCGATTGACTTTTTTTCATTCTCCCGCATGACGTTTTTCTGGGTAGGTGGCCGGCTACCGCCGTGATTCATGTATTAGTGGTGCACGGGTTGTCACTTTTCTACAAGTCTTCCAGGCTGAAGGGAAAACTTGTCTAGGTCCTCATAGTTGAGAAATCGCTAAGAGGTGAGTCCGTGGGTACCGACGACCCGACTTCCGTGGACGGTGGAAGGAGGGTCTGGGAACGATCTAGAAGGGTCAGCATTACGCACCTTTAGCGGGCAAGGATTAGTTGGCGTCTTTGGATGCTAATTTATTTAATACTCTCATTGTTGCAAAAGGGAACTCATTTAATAAGTCTGAAAACAAATCAGTGAGGCCAGGTGCAAAGTGAAGAAACTAACCCTTACAAATAATTTATAGATATTTACAATAAAAATGGCCCCAACAGATATAGACTGTTCATACCCTTTAACTCCTAGTCCTGGTCTAGGCTGACAGTGAGTTAAAACGTTCGCCTGTTTCTCATCGTTAAAAATCACACACCCCTCCACTTCCAAAAACCTGTGGATTCTGAAGTAGTGTTGAATATGTCCGCTGAAGTGGGGGTCACTGAAGAGAGTGATTATTCCCTGCGATGTGTTCTGAGACTTATTTTTAAGGAATAAATCCAGGTCGGAATTTCAAATAACCATAAAGTTTCAACATTGGGTATCGGAGTCATCAATAGGAAACCGCTTCCATAGATATATAGGAAATTTATAATTTATTATTTGGGATTTGGTGACTGACCAGCTGAAATAGAGAAGAAAATCAGGAGGAATAGTTAACTTGCATTATGCATATTGCATAATGGTTAAGAGCATGAGTTTGGGAGCCCAGCCGATTTGAATACTGAGTCAAGAGAAAGTTTGAATCACGATAAAGATTTGATAAATATCATTTAGATGAGGTGTTTAATGACCTTAGGGAACCGGGCACGGTGGCTGACATCTGTAATCCTTGCACTCTGGGAGGCTGAGGCAGGAGATTCCGTTAAGCTCAGGAGTTTGAGACTAGCCTGAACAAGAGTGAGAACCGTCTCTACAAAAGTAGAAAAATTAGCCAGGGCTTGTGGTGTGCGCCTGTAGTCCCAGTTACTTGGGAGGCTGAGGCAGGTGAATCGCTTGAGCCCAGGAGTTTGAAGGTGCATTGAACTAGGGTGATGCCATTGTACTCTAGCCAGGGTGACAGAGCAAGACCCTGTCTCAAAAGAAACCCCAAAACAAACAAACAAACCAACCTTAGGGAGAGTAGTTTCCCTGGAGCAAAGCAGAATCCATGTTTCAGTGAATGGGAGATAAGTTAATGGAGGCATTGAATGTAAGTTATACTTTCAAGGAGCTTATCTCGAGGGAAAGGAGAGACAGGGCAGTAGCTAAAGAAGAATGTGGGGTAAAATAGTTTTATCTTTTGTTTTGTTTTCAGGTGGAAGCAAATACTGCATATACATGTTGGTCCCATGAGAGAAATCAGCCTGTAGAAAGGAAAGTTTGAAGGAAAAAAAAACAAAACAAGAAAATAATTCACTTGTGGAGTAACCACTTGGAATAGATAGGAAGAAATGGTATCCTGGGTACATATTAGTCTGGGGGACAGGAAAATGGATCCTTTTTGTCTCACTCATGAGGAAAAAAAGAGTGTGGATAAAGATAAGCTTAGGTGTGGATAGGGCAGAGAGAAATAGAAGGAATTCACGCATGATGACTTTTGTTGTCCTCTATAAAGTTAGCGGTGGGATTGTCAGTTTAGTGTAAGGCGCTTGGATGTGGTAGAACAGTTGAGGAATTTGGAATTGCCTCTGTTAGGAACTGGGAGAATCTCACCAAAGCTTGCTGGGTCTTTGGTTCCTCATCTCTAAAATGAGGGGATTATGTTCTGCTTTGTAAGGTATCTCAGGGTTGATTGAGGGCCAAATAGGGAAAAAAAAAAAGAGTTGAAGGACTTTGAAAAAATTATAGTACTATAGAAAGGAATATATTTAATGACAAGTTAGTAAAATATAGATGTTATGTTAAAGATAGTACTTTTTTGCAAAGAATAGATCAAGAAAACTGATTCAAGAAGAAAGAGAATGGAGCAAAATCTGTGATTTGTGTGCCTTATGATTATTTTGTTTTTTGAAATCTCAGTTTATTTTCAGGCGAAATGGGGATAATAATACTTTATGGGTTGTTGTGAGGATTTAAATAAAGTAATTTCTAAGACACTTAGCACAGTGCCTGGCTCCTAGTAAGTGCATAATAAATAGTAGCATTTTTTCATCTGAGTTCCATTTTTGGGTGGGGGAAGCATAAGAAAAGTTCCCTGGGACAGGAGACTTGGTTTTGGCTCTGCTCTACCTTGTTAAAATATTACTAATGAAGAAAGGCAACAAACCCTGGGATAAGATTTCTGTTAGTAATATTTCATCAAGTTAGAGCAATTCATAATAATAAAGCCATTTTTACAAGCACTGTCTTTTTAAATTATTTTAAAAATTGTCAAATATTACATGCTTGTAAAACCTTCAAATTGCACCAAAGTACATAAGGTAAACAAAATATTCTCCCCTAATATCTTTCCCACTTCCAGACCACTTTCTAATAGTAACAATTTTCTGTATATCCTTTCATATATGTTTTAGGCATAATGATATAATAAATGTGTATTTGTTATGTGAGTATATATATATATATATACACACACATGTTTTGTTGGTAAAGTCATCTCTCTAAACAATATATTTTTGAAAGTGACCGTCATCTTTCATATAGTTATATTCAATTGGATGGATATATAATTATTAATAATTTAGTCAGTATACTACTGATAACATTAAGGTTATTTCAAGCTTTTTGCTGTTATAAACAATGCTACAAGAAATATATTTGTTCATACAAGATATAGTATAAATTCCTACAAGTAGAACAAAACAATATGTGTTTTTTATAATATTGATAGATATTGCAAAATTGTTTTTCAAAAAGATCTTACCAAGCTCTGCTCCCACCAGAGCTTTTACTCATATCTTGACCAATATTGGGTATTATTCTTCTGAGATTCAGATATTTTTATGAATTTTTTTTTTTTTTTTGAGACAGAGTCTCGCTCTGTTGCCCAGGCTAGAGTGAGTGCCATGGTGTCAGCCTAGCTCACAGCAACCTCTATCTCCTGGCTCAAGCAATCCTTCTGCCTCAGCCTCCCAAGTAGCTGGGACTACAGGCATGCGCCACCATGCCCGGCTAATTTTATATATATATATTAGTTAGCCAATTAATTTCTTTCTATTTATAGTAGAGACGGGGTCTCGCTCTTGCTCAGGCTGGTTTCGAACTCCTGACCTCAAGCAATCCGCTCGCCTCGGCCTCCCAGAGAGCTAGGATTACAGGCGTGAGCCACCACGCCCGGCCTTTTTATGAATATTTTTACAAGGTGAATCTTCCATATGAACTTTAAAATAAATTTTTAAGGAATAATTTAGGGAATACTTTGATTGACACTTATTTTATAAGTTAATTTATGGTAAATTGGCTTTACCTGTGCAAGAATAAGGTATATTTTCTCATTTTAATGAAGTTTTTTATGTTTTTTCATAGAGTTGTTAAATGTCATTGATTAAATCGTACATCTTTTTCGTTTGTTACTACTTATTAAGCACTTACCTTGGCATTACATTGAAATGCCACTTTTATCTCATATTAAAGTGGCCTTTCTGTGGATTTCTATGCTCTTTTTAGTCCTGTACAAGCTATTTTCTTTGTTGCACATCATGTTATCTTGGTAACTTCTTTAACTCTGTTCAGTATCAATTTGTTGATTTGTAATGTAATAATATTTTACAACATTATTGTGAGAATTAAAGATAGTATTATTAAAAGTATCTGCCACATACCTGGCAGGTTCTGAATAGATGGAAGTTGTTATTCTTATCAGTATCATTATCATTAATAGGTGAGAACCCAGAGAGGTTCAAGGTGGCTACTTTGAAAATCACTAAATTTCATTTGGAATTTTATCTTAATTTAATAAGCCACTTTCAGAGATGAAGGGAAATGAGGATTTATTTATCACCTATAGTGTGCTAGGCACTGTGCTAGGTGCTAGGGTGGTAGAACAATCAATAGGACCTATGCTCAAGAAACAAAGTCTGATGATGGAGAAAGACAAGTAAATCAGTGATTGAGATACAACGTGATAATATACTGAGTTAAAGTAGTCACTGGCTCATGTGGGAGCATAGAAGAGGGGAATTTAAATTACTTTTCTAATCCTCACAGCTACTGTGTATTTTTAATCATGTTTTTACAAATAAGGAAACTGAAGCCGTGAGAGTAAGTCACTAAAGCCACACAGCCTCTAACCTGCAGAAGTGGTAAAAGGACAACCTAAGTCTAACTCCCAACACCTCTGCTCTTCCTTTATATATTTTAAATAGTTCAAAAATGTAAATTTTATTTTTATCCCAAATAGGCCTTATAAAATTTCTAATTTTTGAAGTAGTTATAGACGGTCCCAATAGGTAAGGAATATACTCTACTAAATTTCAGGTTTTAATACACCTTTTACATGCTTGAGGCCTTTTCCTATTTCTACTTCAGACTGTTTACTAATCATTTCCCCACCTCAGACACACTTAAGTTAGCTTTGGAGGGTTTTTTTTTCTTTTTGAAGAATAAATAAGGAAAATTCTGTTTCTTTGCTTTTATGTCAACATCCAAAAATATTCCCATTTGTTTAAATAGGTGAAGTTGAGCCCAGAGCTACACATATAGCTAATCTTATGAAAATGTGTGGACGGAAAGCAATCTGAAGGAAATTGGGGACCACAGAATTTACTGGCTGAAATACATTGTATTTGTTCATACCAAGAGTGGAGGACTATTTTTTTTTTCCTGCTAAAATCACAATGGAGGCAGAAGAACAGCAACAACCATGGAAGACAGACTTTTACTTGGAATTGCCAAAAGTGGTAAGAATTCAACTACAGAATTCTTAAGTGGTTGCTAATTAAATGACTTTTATGTTGTTCCTTTTTGCAAAAGAAAAGTAAATTTCGTAGGTAGAATATGTAAACTTTAAAAGTTATATATAGCTAAATTAAATAGGCAGTTTGCCTAGTACAAACTGCAAACATCAAGTGCCTGGTTTGATGCTGTGAAACTATTGAACACTTGACAAGTTTTTACTGATTGTCTTCTCTTGTGTTAGGAACTTCATGCCCACTTGAATGGATCCATTAGTTCTAATACCATGAAGAAATTAATAGCTAAGAAGCCAGATCTTAAAATCGATGATCAGATGACTATGATTGACAAGGGAAAGAAACGAACTTTAGAAGAGTGAGTTTGGGGAGGTTGTGTCATACTTCTTTTTTTCTGTATCAGTATTTTGAGATTGTAAGTAGTAAGAATTCAGATTTTACTAGTTAGAAAGAATGGGGTAGGCATCTTCGGTGGAGAGTATAATTTAACATACAGGATTTTTTCTAACTGTCAGACTGTTGACAGTATTTTTAATGATTTGTGTTGTTTGTGAAGTTATGCTAAATTGGAATATTCTTTAGACTTGATAATATAGGCATATTAAATTTTGTCCCTGTGTCTGAGGTGGGGTTGGAGAAGGGGAACTATTATTTCTCACTTAAAAATATCATTCATGGCCGGGCGCGGTGGCTCACGCCTGTAATCCTAGCACTCTGGGAGGCCGAGGCGGGCGGATTGCTCGAGGTTGGGAGTTCGAAACCATCCTGAGCGAGACCCCGTCTCTACTAAAAATAGAAAGAAATTAATTGACCAACTAAAAATATATATACAAAAAACTAGCCGGGCATGGTGGCACATGCCTGTAGTCCCAGCTACTTGGGAGGCTGAGGCAGGAGGATCGTTTGAGCCCAGGAGTTTGAGGTTGCTGTGAGCTAGGCTGACGCCATGGCACTCACTCTAGCCTGGGCAACAAAAGTGAGACTCTGTCTCAAAAAAAAAAAAAAAAAAAAATATCATTCATGTTCAAGGTAATTATTTCATAGCAAACTGGAATTAAAATTAAATTAATATAAATTAATAAAAAATATCATTAATGTTTTATTTTCAGTCATTTGATTATCTTTCCAGGTAAATGTAATTTTTGAAAAACTTATTTTGTAGTTTTTTGTAAATATAAATATATACTTACTGTTAACCTAAAATCTGTTCATTAATTCTGTTTAGTGAGTTTCTCTTGAGTGATAAGTTTTTGGTGTCTAGGGTATGCTAAAACTTTTCATTCATGTTGCAGATGTTTCCAGATGTTTCAAACTATTCATCAGCTTACTAGTAGCCCTGAAGATATTCTAATGGTGAGACATGAAGGAATTTGTAGATGGTTAAGATTAGGAAATAATTTATGCCCTTTTGTTGTTGCACATGACCTTTCATTTTTGCTTTTATTAAGAGTCTGATGAAAATGTTTTGTTTTTTTTTATGGCAACTCTTTTCAAAACCAATATAAGACATTTGTCTAAGAGCTAATATAAAAAGACTGTGTTTGTTGTAAAATATATGAGGAAAGAACTAAGATGAGCATCTTCTGTTGGATTGAGGACCATATGGAGGACAATATCTGGTCCTGTTTTTAATATATAACATATGAAATATTTGAAGATGGGCATGTCCTTGATAGGACTTTGTCTGTATTGTGTAGGAAACTTTTAACTGCCTGAGTAGACATTATAGAGAATGAAGAAATTCAAGAAGTACTTATATATTGAGTGATTAATCCCTAGGAAAATGGTGCCTTCTCTCTGGGGGTGAAGGAGTACAGGATGCCACTATGTTCTCTTATCTGAAGCTCCATGATACTAGAGTCTGACATGGAAGACTGGCTTCCGTATCATTGATCTGATCAGGATGGCATTTTAAAATGTTTTATTTGTAAATGGAGAGAAACAAAATCTTGTCAGTGTTCTTAGCCATTAGAAAAAATATATAAAGTAAGTATAACCTGTGTTTCTGGAGAAGTTACTTTTGACTGCTCAAAAAATTTTCCCCCTTGGTCAAGACGGATCTTCATGATAAGTAGTAAGTAAATTAATCACCTTTTAGAGGAGAGTTAACTCTCATAGTTCAACAAAAGTTGACTGAGGGCTGTAGTATTCCAGGTACTATGCTAAAGACCTAGAGATACAAGGAAAGATAGACATAGTCCCTGCCCCCAAGGAATGTATAGTCAGGTTGGAGAGACAGACCCCATAAGCAGATAAATGCAACATAATGTGATAAACTTTGTTTTAGAAACATGCATGAGAATTTATAGGAACCCAAAAGGGCATTCTCTAATCAGCCACTCAACAAATACCTTTGAACACTCGTAGGAATTTCTACCACAGGGGCTCTGGTCTCACCTAGTTGCTGAGTGTTACGGAGCAAAAGGATGAAATTTGAAATTCTGAGAGCTTAATACTCAATGGGTATAATAATGCCATGTGTATCACTACATTCATTTCAGAATGAAAGTTGAAAAGCTCTATTAAATGAGGTGTGAAATAAAGTTTTGTGCATTTGACTTAGTGCTATTCAATGAGCATCTATAGGTGGTTCAGAGGATGACTGTGAAGGGCCCAATATTATAGATGAAACATCTGTGAGAGGATGCTAGGAGATTATTTGTAAATGTGGAACTCCCTGTTGGGGAATCACTTAAAACTCTAGTGTAGTTAACCTGGGTTTAGTCCCAAAGAGACAGGATTCGAATGTGGCTGAGAAAATGATATTCACTATTATATGTACCAAACATTATTCTTAGGACTACTCTCTGAAGTAGGTATTTTTATTGTTCCTTTTTGCAGATGGAAAAAAGGCTTAAAGAGGTTAAGTGTAACTTGTTTAAGGTTACCCACAGAGAGTAAATGGAAGAACTGCCTCTGACTGGTTCCAGAGCTAATTTCCCATTCAAACTATATAGCCTTACAGACCTTTGAGTAAGCAAGAACTTAACTAATTGTGAGGTATTCTATCTGGAAAAAGAATTTGAATAGGTACTCTCAGTCTAGAGCATAGGAGAGGCAAGAGCAAAGAGTGTAGCCCTCCATACCCACTGCACAGAACAGAAAGAGCTAAATCTGGCAGACACAGATATGACCCCAGGGAAAGGTTCTTCGATGTGAGTTCGCGATAATTCCACAGACCTCACTGTGGCCTAGATAAATCTTCTTCCCTTTGTTCATGTTCCATACTTACCAGCAACCTTTTCATTGTTCATTTGGTTTCACAGGTACCTAACTGCCCAGAAAAGGGGGCGGGGGGCCTTGGACAGTGTATATGATCACTTCAGTCACTGAAAAGGACCACTATTTCAAACTCTCACTTCTATTCACCTCTCCTTTGTCAGACAGGTTTCTGCGTTAGTCTCATGACCTAGGGTAGGGTAAGTTGGTCCCTTTGGGTCTCTTCATTTCTGAGGCAATGCAATATCCAGGTTCTTCACCTTGCAAAGATAAGGCGTCAGTGGCAGCAGGATGGAGTTCCTGGAGTAGCAGTGCCGCAGGGCCAAGTGCCAGTGATGAGGGTGTGGAGGCTGCAGGGTTGTGCTCAGTGGTGGAGGCAGCAGTGGTGTCTTGCTTAGTCTGGGAGTGTCTCATGTTTTTAATGCTTAAATGTTATCTTGAGCTGTATAGTCTCAGAGTCTGGTTCTCTAGACCTGGTGAATCTGAGCTATCCATTCCATTCATAGTATAATAAATTCCTATTTGGCTTTAGTGGAGGGGGAAAAACAAAACAAAACAAAACAAACAAATAAACAACAACAAAAAAAGAAGAGGCCCAGACCTTGGATTGCTGTGAATTCACCAACATAGTGCCTTCCCATTAGTCACTGTCTTCACAGCCAACCAGCCCTGTTCCTTGCCAGGACACTGCACTTGCATGCCTATGTGCATGTAGATAAAGCAGATGAAGATTAGGATACCAACTGTAAGTACTAACTGGGGCAGGTAGTCACAGTGGCCCCATACTTAGTCCTTTTTTCTTTTAGATTTCGTATTTTTTAGGTTTGAAGGTAGAAAATAAAAATGTGCCTTCGGTAACTTTTGGATTATTGAGATTTGTACTAAATTAGGTAAGTTTTTACTTAATATTTTTTTTTGACTTTTTTTTTTTTTTTTTTTTTTTTGAGACAGAGTCTCGCTTTGTTGACCAGGCTAGAGTGAGTGCCGTGGCGTCAGCCTAGCTCACAGCAATCTCAAACTCCTGGGCTCGAGTGATCCTTCTGCCTCAGCCTCCCGGGTAGCTGGGACTACAGGCATGCGCCACCATGCCCGGCTAATTTTTTATATATATATCAGTTGGCCAATTAATTTCTTTCTATTTATAGTAGAGACGGGGTCTCGCTCTTGCTCAGGCTGGTTTTGAACTCCTGACCTTGAGCAATCCGCCCGCCTCGGCCTCCCAAGAGCTAGGATTACAGGCGTGAGCCACAGCGCCCGGCCAAAAGGTATCCACAGTGGCCCGTACAGGGATCGAAGACTTTTTTTTATTTTGGCATATTATGGGGGGACAGATTTTAAGGTTTTAATAAATGCCCTCCCCCCCCTTTACTTAATATTTATCACCAACTTTTCTTTGCTTAGGGGAATTTTCCTAAGTACTTCTTGGGGAAAATTTAATCCTCCCAGAATCCACTGAAAAATACAATTTATTCCTAAGTAACTTGAGTAAGAACCTTAAGCCTTGACATTAAATAGCACATCAGTAATGCCTAATCATTTTAACTGTTTATTTCTGTATGTACATTTCCTACACTATAAACACATTAGATAGTTCCACCTGGTTTTAGTTTTGCCTCATTTCTCTGTTTTACCGATCTGCTTTTAAGAACATGAGAAAATAGAGAAATGGTTAAAAGGGAGGAAAGAAACAGTGTGACAGATGAGCAGATTTAGATTTAAGGTGGGAACGAGGGTGTGAGGAGAGCTATTGGAGGTTTTGCAGCTCTGTTGTGTTCTCCATCAGGGTGTGACAAAGCAGTTAATCTCTACCATGTGCGATAGTGCTGGCATTTCTTGCAAATCAAATTTAATGAATGAAATAAAGTTGTAGCACTTGGCACTTTCATTGGGACCCTTATGCTAACATTATTGCCTTTATTATCAGGTCACAAAAGATGTCATTAAAGAATTTGCAGATGATGGTGTCAAGTACCTGGAACTAAGGAGCACACCCAGAAGAGAAAATGCTACTGGTAGAGTTTATACTTCTCACTGAATGTACTGTTTGTCCCTTTTCCTGTGTGTTTTGATCATTCACATATTTAGAAGTTGGAAGTATGAAGCACTTTTGCACTATTGTATTATTTTCTATTTTCCTGGGGACCTTTAGTCAACAGTCCAAATCCTCTGACATACATTAATAATGTACATTACTAATGAGTGAGTTATTCCTAAGTAAAAAGTAGAAAATCTGGTCAGGCACTGTCTATTTAAGGGGGGAGAAAAAGGCCTGTAAAAATTTCTTACGTTCTTTTTTTAGTTTTTCTCACTCTGAGAAAAGAACACTTACTCTGATAGTTGTATTGTTATAACAGAGGCTAATTCTTATTCCCTGCATCAAGGGCACTTGTGAGACAATGCCACTGATTGGGTACAGAATCATATTCTACGGTAGTTATGGAAATGTAGGTTGTTCAGTCACTGCTCAGGCACTGATAGTTTCTTAGGCCAGGAGCAAGCTGTTGATGTGGCAAAACCTCTCTGGATGGAGATGAGCAAATCTGGATGTGGTCTGGAGGGATTTCCTGGGACTCTCCTTCCATAAGAGCAGCATCAGTTCTACTGGGGCTTCACTAATATAAAAAAAAAAAAAAAAAAAAAAAAAAAAGAGCAGCATCAGGAGATATTATGTAGTGTCATTGAGACCCTCGGAGCACCTTGTCTATGACCTGAAGAGACGTAGGTCGTCTTGTGCCCTTGTGTGTGTAGCTTAGTAATCATTTGGGTGGTAACATTTTTGAAACTATTATTGTAAGTGTTTAAATGGGACAACGACAAGATTCTGATCTCACATTTTTAAACTGTACAATTGGTTTCAAGTTAAGCTGGTAAGGGTAATGGAAGGGAAGGGAAGAAGGATATTATTAACCTTAGTATGCAACAGTAGGGGAATGTTTAAATAAAGATTAATGGAATATACAAATGTTTAAGTTACATAAAAAAAAAAAAAAGATTAATGGAATATTAAGCAGCCATTAAAAATATTTGTGAAGATACTTTAATGACACAGGGAAATACTTAGAATGCAATATTAAATGACTGAAGCAGGTACATATATACCTAGAATCATCTCATCTATTTAAACATGTGTATATGTATGTATATGTATACTTAAAAAAAAGATAGTAGTTATCTCTGGGTGGTGAGATTACAGGTTATGTTTATTTTTCTTCTTTATAATTTTCTGTGTTTCACTAGAGATTTTCCACTAAAACAACCATTTTATAATCAGGGTAAAAGAGTATTTTTAGAGGACATTGTTTTGGAGAGCAGTATCGCAGAGCCTCCCAGAATAGGAACACCAGAGCTCTGAAATTTGGAAGAATATCTCCGCTTCCCTGGATGAGAAACACCTAGCTTGAGTAGGATTGAGGGGAAAGGAACCCAAGCTAGGATTTTTTTTTTTCTGGACCAGCAGAAAAACATCCTGTTAATAGAGGAAATGTATCTTTTTATTTTTATTTTGTTAAAGGACAGGCCTTAGAAAAGGGCTTGTTCTTTTTCTTGTTTTGTTAGAATGAGCATTTAAATTGTTATAGCGATTTGTGAGGACAATTTTATGTCTGTTGAATCTAAGAATAATTTTTAAATGGGCTGGTATAGCATATGTCCTTTTGTTTTTTTTCTAGTACTTCATTTTTTTTAGTTTTATTAAAATACAATTAGCATTTACTAAAATGTACCCATTAAGGGCCATGTTTTCACTTATCTTTAATCATGCCCTTGTCACAGCATAAAGTGAAAATGTATTGTTTATATAGAGATGATAAAGTTGAAGGATAAAATAGCTGATGATCTTTTTACATATATTTTCTATGTGTCCTTTCCAGGAATGACTAAAAAGACTTATGTGGAATCTATACTTGAGGGCATAAAACAGTCTAAAGAAGAAAACTTAGACATTGATGTTAGGTAAGAAAACTGTACCTTAGTACACCATTTAAAAACTAGAATGTGAATTTTTACTGTTTTGATCATGGGTGTAATGGATTTTTAATAATTACCTTTATAGAGAAATGACTGGCTCTAGATAATAGTCTTAAAGGTATTCAGTTAAGTATTCATTTATTTATTATTGTAATAAAAAATAAATAAAAATATAAAAAATATTGTAATAAAAAATAAATTAAAAAATTTATTATTGTAATATAAGTATTCATTTATTTATTATTGCCATTAATCTAGCATTTAAATTGTCAAATTCTACCTTTCTTCATTCCCCCATCCTATCCATTCCCTAAAATGTTTTTAAAATTATAAACATGGAAGAAAATATTTTAGATTGTGATCTTACTTTGTATATCAGTTTATTGATGTTTTTTGTCATTTCCCTATTTTAGTAAATTAAATAAAAACCCTGGACCAAAAAAAATAATAATAATTACCTTTAAATGATTTCTAACCTGCCGTAGAAAATAGAATCAAGAACCCTGTTGTTCAAGGTGAGAATACAATTCTAAATTTATTCATATGGCATTCAAATTCTGAGTATTTTTGCTTGAGTAAAGTATAGCATCCCTTTGCTGTTAAATTAAAATGGACTTCTTACGGTGGCCCACGAGGTCCCACATGATCTGGCTACCCCTCTTCAACAGCTCATCTAGACCACTCCTCCTCACTTATGCACTGGCCTGCTTTCTCTTCCCCAAATAGGCAAGACTATCTCACCTCAGCAACTTGGTACAATACTTCCTGTTTTCCCTAGAACACACTTCTACCAGATCCTTACATGACTGCCTTCTCATTATTCAGGTCTTGATTTGGCTGTCATTTCCTCAAAGGGCCTTCCTTGACCACTATCTAAAGTGCTCCCCAATCCTCCCATCATCCATATTTTTTCTCTGTGGCATTCATTTATAACAAGATAAAGAATTAACTTGTATTATTTTGTATATATACCCACCTACCAGAGCAAGGGTCCTCAAACTATGGCCCACGGGCCACACGCGTCCCACCGAGGACGTTTATCCGGCCAGCTGGGTGTTTTTGCCACCGCTGCTGCCTGTCCTGCTTAGCAGCCAACTTGTCCCAGGCCCACAGTGCGCATGTGTGGAATGTGTGCCACACTCTCCAAAGACCCTCCAACGGTCTGAGGGACAGTGAACTGGCCCCCTGTTTAAAAAGTTTGAGGAACCCTGCTAGAGTGTACATTCAGTGAGGCCTGGGACCTTGTCTTTTGATTCACTATTACCTCTTTAGTGCTTAGAACAAAGAGGGGTTCAATAAGGCCTTAAATGAAGAAAGAAAGCTAGCTAGCTATATAGCTTCAGGTTATGAGCATCTCTAAAAATTAAGCTTAAGTAGACTAATACCCAAATAAAAAAACCAAGCGGAAGACAAGAAAAGAATGCAGAAAAGAAGACATGCAAATGGCCAGTAAATGAATAGAAAACTATTTAACCTCATTAATCAAATAATTTTAAAAGGAGATATTACAATGCCATTTCAGTAGGTTTAGGAGAAAAGTAATAACAGGTGTTTGTGAAGTTGCACACTACTGGTAAGCGTATGTAATTAATAAAACCTCTCTAAATAACAATATGTATCAAGACTTATAAAAAATTTTTCCCTCTGACCCAGTAATTCTGTTCTAGTAATGTGTCCTAGGAAATAGATTGATTTATGCATAAAACCTTATTGTAGTGTTATAACAAAAAAATAGAAAACATTGTAAACTGTCTAGCAGTCAGAGGATAATCACATTATGGTATGTTCATATGATTTACATTGTTTTCTAATATTAATGGCACAGGAAATTATTAAGTGAAACTATAGTGACACTGTATTTTATATATAATTGATCTTTATATATCATTATATATAATTGATCTAGATTTTGTAAATAAATAAATGCTGAAGAAACTTATTTTGTGAATAAATAAGTAAATTAATGCTGGAGAAAAATGATATAGTATTTTTTTTTTTTTTTTGAGACAGAGTCTCACTTTGTTGTCCAGGCTAGAGTGAGTGCCGTGGCGTCAGCCTAGCTCACAGCAACCTCAAACTCCTGGGCTCGAGTGATCCTTCTGCCTCAGCCTCCCGAGTAGCTGGGACTACAGGCATGCGCCACTATGCCCGGCTAATTTTTTTTTTTATATATATATCAGTTGGCCAATTAATTTCTTTCTGTTTATAGTAGAGACGAGGTCTCGCTCTTGCTCAGGCTGGTTTTGAACTCCTGACCTTGAGCAATCCGCCCGCCTCGGCCTCCCAAGAGCTAGGATTACAGGCGTGAGCCACAGCGCCCGGCCAATGATATAGTATTAACAAGGGTTCTCTGGTTATTCAAATCCTATAAAACTCTAGCTAATATATGAAGAATGAATTTGTATCAGATATTTGATACATTTTAGAATTTGAATATAATTTTGTAACCACTAATGAAATAATGGATCAAAGCCTCCTGAGAATATACTCCCACCAATTTACTCTTCCTAAAAAATCAAATCGGATCTCATAAAGCCTCTAGACTAGATCCATTTATTGATTTATAGGAACTACAAGAGAGGAAAACATTCACTATACAGGAATACAATAAACAAAATCCACACTATGAGAAACTTTGCAGGACAAACAACCTGGTTTCTTTAACAAATAAATTGCAAGAAAAGAGGTGAGGCAGGGGTAGGAGGAGGAGAGGAAGGAGTGGCTATAGAATAAAAGAGACTTGGCTGAGTGTGGTGGCTCAGCCACATAATCCTAGCAGTTTGGGAGGCTGAGGTGGGAGGATTGTTTGAGCCCATGAGTTTGAGACCAGCCTGATAAACATAGCAAGATGCCATCTCGATGAAAAATAGAAAAAAAAAATAGCAGTGCATGGTGGCATGCACCTGTAGTCCCAGCTACTCAGGAGGCTGAGGCAGGAGATCGCTTGAGCCCAGAAGTTTGAGGTTGCTGTGACCTATGATGTTGCCACTACACTCCAGCCTGGGTAACAGAGCAAGACTCTGTCTCAAAAAAAAAAAAAAAAAAAATAGACTTAAGAGATATATATTGACTTACACAAAGTGGGGACCTTATTTTGGATCCTGAATCAAACAAACACATGAATAGAAAAACATAAGAGAGTTGGAAATTTGAATACTGACTGGATACTTGATGCTATTTAGGAATTCATGTCTCATTCCTTCTGGTAAAGTAAACTGTCATGTTGTCTAGGCTCAGGCTATACTTTTTCTAGTAAGATGTATTGTAGCCTGCCATACCTATCTGGCCACACTCAGAGTAGTCTTCTTCATTTGTATCGTATTACTTTTCAACTATGTTTTTCTTATGTTAAAGGTATTTGATAGCAATCGACAGAAGAGGTGGCCCTTCAGTGGCCAAGGAGACTGTTAAACTTGCTGAAGAGTTCTTCCTTTCTACTGAGGGAATAGTTCTTGGCCTTGACCTCAGTGGAGACCCTACTGTAAGTTATTTTTCCTAAATACATTTTAATTCTAAAAGGTAGAATCAGTGGGATGAGGATTAGCTTGGAGTATCCCGCATTCTCCAGACACTCTGTGGGTAAAGCTGTCTTCTACCCTGGATGACCAGAATGTCTAAAATAGCTGTTCTTAGCCAGGGTTCTGTGAAAGAATTAAGCATCCTTTAAAAAAAAAAAAACACTATTATCTCTGTTTTTCTAAAGATGATACACAGCCTGAACTTCTTCAGTGTCAGAGTCAAGTAGAAATCTTGTCATTTGAGGCCAGATAATTCTTTGTTGTGGGGGCATGGTGGCTGCCCTGTGCATTTTAGGATGTTTAGCAGCATCCCTGGCCTCTACCCACTAGATGCCAGTATACTTTTCCAGTTTGACAAGATATATCTCCAGACATTGCCAAATGTACCCTGGGAGGTAGAATTGAACCTGGTTGAGAACCACTGAATTAGACTCTCATGAAACTGGTTCTTATGGTTTTGTCTAAATTTGGACTATTCTGTTCTTCTTTTTATCCATCTATTAAATAGAAATATTTTTAGTAATCATGAGAATTCCTGAATCAGGTGAATTTTCCTCAGCACTGGATATCTAGGTGTCCTTCCAGAAATAAAATTTGGTAACTGCTATATTCAGCTTTGTTAATTGACCTCAGGTTCACTGATACTAGACTTAAGATTCCAAGGGCAGGAACTGTGCCTTTGCCTGCTTTGTATTCTGCAAAGTGTCCACAATGATGTAGGTAGCTTATAAACAAAATGTGCAGATGAATTTGCCATTATTTTTTTCTGCCATTATTATTTCCTTCATTGGAACAGGGTGCTTAATTCTTCGGTTTGCCTAGAATTCTCATGCATCCTTGTTTTAACTTTTGTCTTCAAGGTAGGACAAGCAAAAGACTTCTTGGAACCTCTTTTAGAAGCTAAAAAAGCAGGTCTGAAGTTGGCATTGCATCTTTCGGAGGTAAATAATATTGTCTAGGCTAGAGAGGACAGATTATAATGGAAAATAATAGGATCATTTGTAAGTGGCTAGAAATAAACCTGGACTGAAAAAACATTTTTTTTTCTCTTATTTTTAATACTTTTTTTTTTTATTTCAGCATATTATGGGGGAACAGATTTTAAGGTTTCAGTAAATGCCCTCCCCCCCCAAGTCTGAGTTTCCAGCATGACCATCCCCCAGATGGTGCATATCTCACTCCTTATGTATATATATATACCTGCCCCCCTCCTCCCTCCCACCTGCCCAATACCCTATTACTGTAGTACCTATGTGTCCACTTAGGTGCTACTCAGTTAATACCAGTTTGCTGGAGAATATATCATCTGGTGGCTTGTTTTTTTCCCATTCTTGGGATACCTTCACCTTAGTAGTATGGGTTTCCAGCTCTAACCAGGAAAATATAAGATGTGCTATATCACCGTTGTTTCTTAGAGCTGAATAGTACTCCATGGTATACATATACCACATTTTATTAATCCATTCTTGGATTGATGGGCACTTGGGCTGTTTCCACAGCCTTGCAATTATGAATTGTGCTGCTATAAACATTCGAGTGCAGGTGTCTTTTTTGTAGAGTGTCATTGGATCATTTGGGTAGATGCCCAGCAATGGGATTGCTGGATCAAATGGTAGATTCACTTGTATCGCTTAAGGTATCTCCATATTGCTTTCCACAGAGGTTGAACTAGTTTGGCAGTCCCACCCAGCAGTGTAGGAGTGTTCCTCCTCTCTCCCCGCATCCACGCCAGCATTTGTTATTTGGAGACTTTTGATAAAGGCCATTCTCACTGGAGTTAAGTGATATCTCATTGTAGTTTGGATTTGCATTTCCCTGAGATATTAGAGATGATGAGCACTTTTTCATATGTTTGTTGGCCATTCTTCTGTCTTCTTAGAAAAGTTTCTGTTCAAGTCCTTTGCCCACCTTTTTAATAGGGTTATTTGATTTTTCTTGCTGATTTTCGGTGAGTCTAAGTATATTCTAGTTATCAGCCCTTTATCGGATACGTAGGATGCCAAAAATTTTCTCCCATTCTGTAGGTTGTCTGTTTACTTTCATGACTGTTTCTTTGGCTGTGCAGAAGCTTGTAGTTTCATCATGCGCCATTTATTATTTTTGTTGCTGCTGTGATTGCCTTGGGGACTTCTTCATAAACTCTTTGCCTAGGGCCGATGTCTAGGAGAGTGTTTCCAACATTTTCCTCTAGAATTCTAATAGTTTCATACCTTAGGTTTAAGTCTGTTATCCAGCGTGAGTTGATTTTTGTGAGAGGTGAAAGGTGTGGGTCCTGCTTTAGCCTTCTACAAGTGGCTATCCAGTTTTCCCCAGCACCATTTATTGAAAAAGGGATTCTTTTCCCCAGAGTATGTTTTGTCTGCTTTGTCAAAGATTAGATGGCATATGAGGATGGTTTTATATCAGGATTCTCAGAGCTGTTCCACTGGTCAATATTCCTATTTTTGTGCCAATACCAGATTGTTTTTAATTACTACAGCTTATAGTAAGTTTGACTGGGCATATTAATACTCCCATTTTGTTTTTGTTGCCTAGAATTGCTCTTGATATTCGGGGTCGTCCTTTGGTTCCATACAAAGCGTAAAAATTAATTT